ACACGGCTTGCCGTTCTGAATCAATCAAAAGTCAAGTGTTAACTTGCAAACAAACAAAAAAAAAGCCAAGTTTTTACTTGACTATCAAAAGCCAAGTTTTTACTTGCAAATTCATTCAAAGTCTTTTCCGAAACAGACTTCATTTCATCACACCATTGCTGTTGGCCACAGACTTGTTCATAAACAGACTTGTTCACGGGAACATATTCATAAACCAGAATGCTCATCTCAAAATCCAGCACACATCTACCTGGTCAAAACCCAACAACTCAATTGTTGGTCATTACGCGATAACACGTCATTCTCGGAGTGACTGCATCGACACAGACTTGTCGGTAAACCATACTCGCGCCAAAGATACTAAATACAAAAAACTTATTTGGCTTATCAATGAGCAGCCATGCCCATCAGCACATCAAGATCACAGGATAAAGACTTAGCAAGAAAACGGTCCATCCGAAAGACAAAAACAAAAATCATAAAAGTTGTTTTCATAAACTCCATCTCAAAAAACAATGATAATTCAAACAAAAGGATAAACACCATCCCAACAGAAACCAATACCAAAACAAAAGTCAAAAGCGCGATAAAATGCTGAAACAAAATCGAGAACTAAGACGCGATCTCCTCAACGCCATGGATAACTTCGACAACTTCCTCTTGAGGAACCATAGTTGCAGTGCTAGAAGACTCGTCACCACTCGACGAATCAGATGAACTTGAATCTGAATCAGCCACCTCTTCAACAGCAGGAGCATCCAACTCTTCAACCCTATCATCAATCACTCTAACGGGCGAGTCTTTAAAGATTTCTTCCAGCTCCCGTACATGCTTAGCAAACACCTTATCTGCCAGTGATAGCCCCGCCTCTTTCTTCTTGAGTTCAGCTAACTCCACACCAAGATCAAGTGCTTTGTCACTCTGAAGCAACTCGATGAACTCGATGTTACTGCACTTCGGCAAGATCAATTACGTCATTCGATTGGCCACTGATTACTCTAATCTTCTTTCTATCGCTATTGATCTTCGCCTCATACTTCGCCAACATTTCACGCTTCGCTTCATCAACGGCCCGCTGCAAAGCTACTTCCTGAAGTTTAGCAGCAACGTCTAGGCGGCTGGCAAGTTCGGCGAGTTCCTTCTTCAGACGTTTCTTCTCAGCTTCTGACTCTGAAAACGTCCCATCCATCTTGCGATATTTGTCCTCAGTTTCCTTTACAATAGCTTCAAGCTCAGTAACACGATCTTCAGCGCTCCTTTTATGCTTCTTAAGATCATTGTAAGTCTTCTGAACATTATCATGCTGACGATTCTTCGAGCGAACAGTGACTTCGTAGTCAATGGCGAGCTTGTTGAGCGATGAAAGGAACTGCCAAAAAAAAAGGAATCGCGAAAAACAAGTTAGAAAAATAGAAATAAGGAACAAGGAAAATCACTATCCTGCAATAGTAGTCGCGGAGTCTGACCGTCATACAAAGAAGAGCCATAGTTGAATAAGAATCTTCCTTCGACATCTCCCCTGGAGGCGGAAACACAGTGCCCGGAAGGACGATCCTGGACAGATTCGATGCCGCCGTCGCAGCATCACTAAAAGATTCCTTCGTATAAAAATGGATAGTCGAAGTTGTCACCGTGCGGTCACGTCGAGGCTCGAATTGTGCCTCAATCTGTTCTGATCGTCTCCATCAGCATTGCCTCTCCCTTTGTCTCACGAGGACGCTTATGGCTTGACTCCACACCATCATATCTCCTCCTCGCGTCATCATGACGCCACTGCAATGACTCAGAACGACGATCTACGACAGTAGTAACATTTCACTCTAACACCGGACGACGTGGCTTAGGCACAGGGGTAGCAGTCGTACCAGCTCTAGGAACCGACGCCAACGGCCTAGCTTGCCCTGACATTCTTGTATTAGATTCCATCCTGGCCTCCATGGCTCTCTTCTCACGAGCTGATGGTTTTTTCAGGTTGTCTGACATCTTTGATGAAGAATTCAACGAAGTGATTCCAAAACAACGAGCTAGCGTTTCTTTGACTCTGAGCAAAGAAAAATCCTCCTTCCAGCTACACTTCTCAGCAGCAAGTTCAGCGTAAAGGTCAAATAAGTCTGCCGGTAACTTCTTAATGCGGCTCAAAACTGCAAAACAACAAACAAAAAGAAGAGTTAGAATTGTAAATATAAGAGAGTAGACAAGCGAGACTGCGCAGACAATAAATATGGCTAAGTCAAAAAGCAGTAGCACGGTAGGGTCGGCTACCGCGAGTTCCCCATCTCTCTCGAATTTTGTCAAGGTGATCGCCGCCAACTGAAGCTTCATTAATTTTCAGAAAGAAAAACTTCTCCGCCAAAAAAGGATCTCCGTCAGGAAGATCCACAATAACCTAGAAATCTAGCTTTTCTTTGAGATAATAACAGGGTTTTTCCTTGGAACCAGTCTTGCAAGCCTTCAAGAAACTTAACAGATGATCAGCCCCAACTTTCCTATCGCACTCATAGCCGCGCACCATAATTCCAATCAAGTAACGCATCTCGCGAGGCGTGAGCTAAACAACGGCCAGATTGGTCCTCCACAAGAAGTCAAGAATCGCGCCAAGGATCAGAAACCACATAAAATATGCATGAAAGTAAGCTTCGTATAAAGTGAACTAACCCTTTGGCGGGTAGTCAGCTCATGCATATGAGTGAGGAACAACTAGCTCAACCTCGTTAGGAACGTCGAAGAGGTCAATAAGAGAATCTAAGGATTCCGAAGTCGACATAGTAGACCTTGGCGGATCAGGCTCTTTTCATCGTAACCTTTGTCTTTTGGCAGCTGGCACGGCCATAGTCTCCTCATCAACTTCTTCAACCATGACCAAAGCATTGGAGGAAGTCAGTTTTGTAGAACTACCAGTAGTAGAATCGTCTAAGTCTGAAGTAGTCTTCATGCTATCCTTGTCACGACTACTGTCAAGCTGCGAGTCCATAGAGTCGAAAACCATTTTTTCGATTCACCTCTCCGCTGTGCCAAAGAGCAACTATCAGAGTCAATCTCACCCCACGAAGCCAGCCTTGTCACTAAGTCGCTGAATCGCCGAGAATTAAAAAAAAATCGTCTGAGTTGACTCAGTACCGAGTCAACTCGCGAGTCGACTCAGCACCGAGTCAACACGGAGTCAACTCAGTGAGTCAACTCGCGAGTCAACTCACTGAGTCAACTCGCAAGAAGTCTCAAATCGCCGTTTTTTCGTCGGAT